TTTAGCCTGCGTATTACACCTTTATTAAGGATAAAAATACATGTACATGGCAGGCTTTTCAAATTATTGAAAATACGTAAAATGCCATATTATGGACACTTAGAGACATAGGAACCCCATTTATATTAAAATTTCAAAAACTGACTCTAAGAAATATAAACTAACCTAAAGACACACATTTAAAGACATTACTCTAGGGCAGCCGGGTGGCTCAGCGGTTTGGTGCTGCCTTCGGCCCAGGGTGTGATCCTGGGGACCCCGGGTCGAGTCCCACATTGGGTTTCCTGCATGGAGCCTGTTTTTCCCTCTGCCTGTGTCTCTGCCTCTATGTGTCTCTCATGAATAAATAAAAATTCTTTTAAAAAATAAATAAAAAATAAAGACATCACTCTACTTTCCAAGTGTCACTCCTTTACAGTAAAGTAGTGAATGAAGTACTCTGGATTCTTTGTATCCAAGAGTATAAAACACATATGCTCCTTGGATGGAAAAATGTCTTTTAAAAAAAGGAGAAAGCATTTCTCTGGCCTGATTTTTAATCCAGCACAGTCTGGAGCATTCCCAATCTGAACAGAGACGGCATAGAAGAAATATTTCAGAATCCCTATTAATTGTCCTCTAACAGTTCAGAATTCTTGTATTGGTGTGTACGTGTTCAGTTAGTTGAAAAGTGACCAACAATCATTAGATTTACAGGATCTTTTCACTTGGATTCACCATCTTTCTTGTCCTCACCAGATTTCTGAGCATGTTTAATGTTCCAGGGTGACTTAATAATGTGAAGGTTGGGGGGGCGCCTGGGTGGCTCAGTTGGTTAAGCGTCTGCCTTGGGCTCAGGTCATGATCCCAGGGTACTAGGACTGAGCTCCAAGTCAGGCCCCCTGCTTGGTGGGGAGCCTGCTTCTCCCCTCTGCTGCTCTCCCTGCTTATGCCTGCTTTCTGTCTCTGTCAAATAAATAAATAAAATCTTAAAAAAAAAACAAAACTGTGAAGGTTGAGTCAAACAAACAGAGTTCCAAATTACAGTTGACCCTTGAACAACACTGATTTGAACATGGATTTTTTTTTCCGGTACACTACTATAATGCATTTTCTCTTATGATTTTCTTAGTAACATTTTATTTCCTCATTTATTATAAAAACCACAGTATATAATACATAGTATATTATAAATGTATTAATCAACTGTTTAGGTCATCTATAAATGTCTATCTGGTCAGCACTAAGCTATTAGTAGTTTTTGAGAAGTCAAAGTTATACATGGATTTTTGAAATGCATGGGCGTGGTCAGTGCCTCTAACCTCTGAGTTGTTCAGGGGTCAACTGTACTAACAGGCTGCTTCCTAATTTGGACATTGAATAACTAATAGCTGATGATATTGAACATGATAGTTTTAACTGCTTAACAATAAGGGATGGGCCAGTGTACTGAACCAATGAATATCAGATGAACCTGTTAGTATTTGCTCTAACAGAGAATACAGCCTGTCACTTTTAATTCCCATAGCAAGTATAAACCAAAAACACAATGAATGCAGATGTCTCCAGAGTTCTCAGAAACTTGGAGTAGCGATTCTGGTGAATGAAAACCAAAGCCTCGTTTTAATTCTGTTCTATCACATTTGCTGTTGGTATTTTTTCAAAATCATTCTGAAATGCTACTGACTGACATCCAGAAATAAACAAAATAATGACCCCAAAGGCCTAGATGGTAAAGTCTCTTCTTAAAGCATATATATTTCCCAACTTTTTAGTATTAAGTTTTTCAAACTCAAAAAAGTCCACCTATATACCCTCCACTTCAAATTACACAGTTGCTAAAACTTTGCTGAATTTGCTATTTTCATTTATTTTAGATTTTATTTACATTTATTTTAGCAATTCAAGAATAAGTTGCAGATTATCATGATGCTTCATCCATACTCAACATACATCTCTTTAGAAAAAGGACATGACTTACAGCAGTTATTTTTAATAGAGGAATCATTTAATGCAGGGGTCAATGAACTATGGCCTGCAGGCCAAATATGGCCAGCTGCTCGATTCTTTTGTTTTGTTTTGTTTTTAAGATTTCATTTATTTATTTTGAGAGACAGAGAGAGAGGCAGAGACACAGACAGATGGAGATGCAGGCTCCATGCATGGAGCCTAATGTGGGAACAGATCCCAGGACTCCAGGATCACACCCTGGGCCACAGGGAGGCGCTAAACCTCTAAGCCACCCAGGCGTTCCAAGCTGCTTGATTCTGTAAATGTTTTATTGGAACACAGCTGTTACATATTGCCTATGGCTGCTTTTGTGCTACAACGGCAGAGCTGAGTAGTTGCCACAGAGAACAAATGACCCCAAAGGCCTAAAACATTTATTATTGGGCTCTATAGAAAAAGTCTGCCAATTCCTGCTCTAATAAATACAAGTGTGGAAAATTTTATAAAATCTTGAGTCAAAAGACATGATATTTTTCCACAGCAAATGTTTCTTCCCCTAGTGTAGGTTTTGTAATGTGAACGACTTTAGGTGTGGCGGGTAGCTGTGGTAGGAAGGTTGAGATAAGAGTTGGAATGATGAAGAGAACGAAGTCACTGCACATTTGTCATGTGTAGGTCCTATGCTAGGTGCTTTATACACCATTACATTTACTGTGATCCTCATAATAATACTATGAAGTAGACATTATTCTAGTTTTCTGATGAAGAAACTGAAGCATAGGGAGTTTAGACAATTTGCCCCAAGTCATGCAGATATTAAATAGAAAAACCAAAAACCTAAGTCTGTCTCCAAAGAGATACAGCAAAATTAGTTAAGATTTTCTAGAAAGAATTCTCAAGCATTTTGTTGCCATATTTCATACATAAAATAAGTTCTTCAGGCTTCTCTGGCTTCCAGTACAAAAACTATAGTAAGATTCCTGGATCCTTAAAGTATAGTGAGGACATATATAGTAAGGACCAGAAACTTGTTATCGTATAAGGAAAAGCACCTCAGGAAAGTGATATCAAGTACTTTAACCATTTAATCTCTAAAATGAGGGTAATATCTATCCTGATTACTTTGGGAAAAAGCATTAAAAAGCTTTGAAAATATAGGACTCAATATAGAAGGCCTCATTATTTTGTTGTCTTTACTTAACGCAGGCAAGTCTCAAGCCCAGCTTGGCTATCTCCTCCTTCAGTTTTTTATGTTTTAAAAAGTAACCTTAACCCTCAACATGGGGCTTGAACTCACAACCCCAAGATTAAGAGTCACATGCTCTACAACTGAACCAGCCAGGTGCCTCTCATTCTTTAGTTCTCCAATTCTAGTATTTCTAAGATTTCCTGAGGCTGCTTATTGAACTGAGATTCCTAGGCCCCACCAGAGATTTCTTCCACATACCCCTGTGGATCCCAAGAGTGAGAAGTCAAGGTGATTCTGAATCAGGTGATTTGTGAGTCATACTTTGAGAAACACTGCTTTCAGTTATAATTGGTGTTTCACAAGATCTATTTAAAGTTACCACTTTAGGGGCACCTGGGTGGCTAAGTCCCTTTAATGTCTGCCTCTGGCGGAGGTCATGATTGCAGGGTCCTGGCATGAGCCTGGTATCAGGCTCCCTGCTCAGTGGAGAGCCTGCATCTTCTCTGCCCCTCCTCCTCACTTGTGTTCGCACTGGCTCTTCTCTCTTCAAATAAACAAATGAACTTACATAATGCATGCTGTAAAATAATTCAAGTAGTATTGACATATATAATGTAAAAAAAATGTTCTTTCCTCACCCACTCTTCTCACACCTTTTCAAGTGGTAAGTTTTGATGATTAGCTTTCCAGACTTGGACTTTCTATTCATATACAAAAACATATTAAGAATGATGAGCATATAGGAGGCCTGGGTGGCTCAGTGGTTGAGCACGTGCCCTCAGCTCAGGGCTTGATCCCGAGATGATCCCGGGGTCACCGGATCAAGTTCAGTCTTGCATCCAGCTGCCTGCAGGAAGCCTGCTTCTCCCTCTGCCTGTGTTTTGCCTCTTTGCCTCTAATGAATAAATAAAATCTTTTTAAAAATTAACATTTGATGTTTCTAATTTGCTACAAAAAATAATGCTGACATAAATATCCTTGCTCACATGACTTTGAGGAACTGTTTCTGCAGGAAATATTCCTTAAAGTTGACACACGATGACGGCTTACCTATTGGTCCGATTTTACGATTTTTAGGTACCAGTGGGAGACGCCCTGTGCTTGCTATTTTGAATGATCCATCATTGAACATTTATATCAAGGTCCAAAGTCCACGACAAAAAGATTTCTAAATTAGATTTATTGCTCTGTGTAAATTCGGCTTCCAAAGTGCCGCCAACACTGCCACGAAAGAGGTGAGTCTGGGGAAGTCGGCGCGGGCCGCCCCCGTTCTCCGAGAGCCCGGCGACCTGGGCGAGGGCCAGAGTGAGGGCTGGCTGCTTCGGCCCGCGTGGAACTGACGCGGGAGGAGGCCCGGGGGCTGAGGCGCCCCGCAATCCTCCGCGAGAGCCGTGGCGTCGGTGGAGACGAGGTGAGCTGCATTAAGACTGCGGCCCAGGGGTCCCCGGGTGGCTCGGCGGTTTAGCGCCGCCTTCAGCCCAGGGCGCGATCCTGGGGTCCCGGGATCGAGTCCCGCATCGGGCTCCCTGCATGGAGCCTGCTTCTCCCTCTGCCTGTGTCTCTGCCTCTCTCTCTCTGTGTCTCAGGAGTAAAATCTTTAAAAAAAATATGCAAAACTCGCCGCCACATATTTAAAAAAAAAAAAGACTGCGGTCCAGCTGCCGCCGCCCGTCTCACCGTCCCTCCCGCCTCACCCTCAGTCGGTTTCTCCAGCTCCCGCCAGGGTCGACACCCCCCGATTCCTCAGTCCTCGGCAAGTTAGGTAAGCGAACCGCTCTCCAGCCCTTCTAACCAAGAAGCCGGGGCAACGCGAGGCTGCCCCACCCTCCACCTCTTGCCCCGCCCCTTCCGCTTGCGGCTTGCTTCCGGCGCCGCCCTCCCGGCTCTGCAGGGAAGAGCTTTGCATTGTGGGAACTCTTTCCTTTCTCCCTCCCGGCCATCTTGGCGGCTGCTGTTGGTGAGTGGGCTGCGCGGGGCCGAGGTCTAGGCAGCGCGGGGAGCCCGACGAGTTGCCCTTTGGCGCTCCTCTCCTAAACTTTCCGCCCTGTCCTCTGTACGTTCTAGGTTGGGGCCGTCCCGCATCTAAGGCAGGAAGATGGTGGCCGCAAAGAAGACGGTGAGTGAGACGGGGCCAAGGCCGGAAGCCGATTCACGTGGAGGGATGAGTCTCGGCCCGGGCAGATGGTCTGAGCACACCGGGGAGACAGCATGCACCCTGGCCTGAGGGGCCGGGAGGAGCCGAGGGGGCCTTAGTGACGTAGGAGCCTAGACTGAGGAGGTTTATTAAAGGGTTCGACGCCCAGAAATCTGGATGCCGTTTTGAGATGGTTAAAAACAAGACCTTCAGGTCCGTGTTAAATGTTTGCTTTGTAGAAAAAGTCGCTGGAGTCGATCAACTCTAGGCTCCAACTGGTTATGAAAAGTGGAAAGTACGTGCTGGGGTACAAGCAGACCCTGAAAATGATCAGACACGGCAAAGCGAAACTGGTCATCCTGGCCAACAACTGCCCGGCTTTGAGGTAATGGAGGGAACCTGGTTGACACGTGTGTCCCCACTGCATGTTCACGTGTGAATTTGAGCCATTTGGGTTGTACCCACTCGGTTTTATGTAAAATCAGTTTTGGAAGCGAACGCTTGCAGAAGAATTTATGGTTTTTTCTTTGGTGTTTGGGGCTGACACCCACCCCCCACCCCCGTCTCCCCAATCGTGCTCTCATCCTGTAAGTTTATCTTCGGGAGAAATGTGTGGCAGAGGGGTATGAACCACAGAACGTCAAAGTTTGAAGCAAGCACGGACACTTGTTTTTCCATGTGTTTTGAGTCCTGCATTTTTGGTCTTTAAAAGTGTTTCGTTTTTCAGACTTGTCTTAGAAAAGTTCGAGCTTGCTGTGGAGCTGCAGGTTCCAAGTGGGCCAAGGTTTTGCTTGGCTTCACCGTTTTGAAATTGAACTTAGTATGGAAAGTAACAAAGACACTTGGACTACGCAGAATATAAGCCATGTGATCAGTTCCCTACAGTACATTAATTTTTCTATGGTGATGCATAACCTGCTCACAGGATTTTATATAGGGTGTCTGTACATCATTGGCTTCCCTAGAATGCTGTCCTCCATCCCACCCCATGGTTTGGTCTTCAAGCTTACCTTCTATGGCAGTGCTTCTCAAACATAAATGTACACACAATTACTGGTAATCTTGTTAAAAGCAGGTTTTGATTTCATGGGTTCAGGATGGGACCTGACATTATGCTTTTTTTTTTTTTTTAAAGAGTTTATTTATTCTTAAGAGGCAGAGACAGGCAGAGGGAGAAGCAGGCTCCCTGCAGAAAGCCCGATGTGGGACTCGATCCTAGGACCCCAGGATCACGACCTGAGCCAAAGGCAGACACTCAACCACTGAGCCACCCAGGTGCCCCGACATACATTTTAATAAGCATGCACACTACTGCTGGTCTGTGAATCCATACTTTGAGTAATGGCACCCTTCTGTTAGGAGTCTCTTCAAATTCGTAAAACCCTTAAAATGTCCACCTGCTCAGTTGACACAGAAATGCTAACTTTATGTAAGTAATACCACTCCCCATCTAGGATTCAGAGCACCGGAAAGTAATAGAAATAGCTTATCCTTTAAAGATAACATGAGCTGGGATTCTAGAACCTCTACTTAACCATTCTTTGCCTGAGTGTCTCCATTAGTTTAAAAAAAATGGAATACATGCTATTTAAGAGATTGTCATGATAATGTGAAGTATCTGGTGAGTGGTAAATGCTAAGTAAATACTTATGTTTCACATCCTACTCTTTTCCATGAGAAGAGTTATTCAGAACATACTTGCTGATTGTCCCATTTTTAAGGGACCAAGAGAAAAGATAGTTTGTATTGCCTAATGGATCTGGTACTTTTTCAAAGAGTAAAGACTGATTTAGTTATTTTTTGAAAGTTTCACCATTAAAACCGATGAGGAAAGTAGTAACATTTTATGTCAGTCACTTGGTATGATCTTTGTTTTTTGGTTTCTGAAGGAAATCTGAAATAGAATACTACGCCATGTTGGCCAAAACTGGTGTCCATCACTACAGTGGCAATAATATTGAATTGGGCACAGCATGTGGGAAATACTACAGAGTATGCACACTGGCTATCATTGATCCAGGTATGTTTTATAAGTCAGAATAATTACTTTTTCATATATAATATAATTATAGGTATTTGCTATAGCAATGTCTTTGGTTCCTAGGTTTAGATATTTAGAATTTGGATATAGCAAGGGATATCTTGTAGTTTTCTTTCACAGAGAACTGATAATGAATATCAGTACATTATAATAGGTATTGTTATAAGTTAATTTTTTTATTTTGTAATTAATTTGAAATTAAATAATTATTTTTTTATTTTGAATTTTGTTTAAGCACTTAAATAATGTAGGACCATGGTAGGGGTGAAATTCTAAAGGCAAGGAGTAATCAGATGAAACAGAAGAAAGGAATCCAAGCCAAGAAGTGGCTGCCTAAGAACAGATAGGTAAAATTAAATTGAGAAAAAGAAATGCCTACAAATAAAGATCATGTTATATTTTGAACTTGAGTTTTTATTTTATTTTTAAGACTTTTTAGATTTTTTTTTATTTTTATTTTTTTAAAGATTTATTTATTTACTCAGAGAGAGAGAAAGGCAGAGGGAGAAGCAGGCTCCATGCAGGAAGCCCGATGTGGGACTCGATCCCGGGTCTTCAGGATCACACCCCAGGCTGCAGGAGGCGCCAAACCACTGCACCACCGGGGCTGCCCTAGATTTTTATTTTATTTGAGTGAGCACCAACAGGGTGAGGGGCAGATGGAGAAGCAGACTCCTGGCTGAACAGGGAGCCCAGTGGAGGGTTCAATTCTGGGTCTCCAGGATCATAACCTGAGCTGAAAGCAGATGCTTAACTGACAAAGCCACTCAGGAGCCCCGAACTTAGGAGTTTTTAGTTCTTAGGATACCGCGAATATTCTCGCTGTTCTGATTTTGTAATAATCAGGGCAGGCTAAACATTCGCTATATTAAGACCATGCATGTGTCCCCAGACTTAGTTCTTTCCCTGGGTCTGGTTTTATCAATGCAGGTGATAAACCAAGTCTGGTTTATATCATGTATCTTCTGTGGGAAATGCCTGTAACTTTAGGTATCTGATCATCCTTGAGAAATGACAGCAAAGCTAGTATTGCAACTTTTGGAGATAACCACTGCTAGTTTGATGATTAACAGTTGTGACTAAATGAATTGTAAAACTATTGTGTTTTATTTTCTAGGTGATTCTGATATCATTAGAAGCATGCCAGAACAGACTGGTGAAAAGTAAATCACGCAAAATTTTTCTTTAATAAAACTGGCCAGAGCTTGTTTTAAAGACACTGTATTCATTTCTGTTTTTTTCCATATATCTTTCTGTTTCTGTACACTTTCACAAGATAGGATTTGAGAGGATGAGGCAGTTGAGGTAACAAGACTTTTGGATTAAGAGCCTATGTGTCCCAGTTTCCCTTTACTTTCATGTATAGGGAGTGCAGAGTTTGTTTTCTCTGTTAGATTTTTAAAAGATTCCTGTCTTTTAAAATTGTGGATACTGTCGTCATTTCATATTTGAGTATGTTTGAGAGGCAGCAAAGAACAATACCCAGAATTTTTTTTTAATGCCCAGAATTTAACCAGATATGCAATTTGTAATCCAGCTTAAATCTACAAATTGAAGTAGCAGAGAGGATTAAATATGTTCTCCCCTCCCAGAATTGTTTGTCTGAGAAAAGTTCTATTGATCTTTAATGAAGAGTTTTTCCTAAGGGTGTGTAGTGGTTGAGGGAGAAGAACTGTAGTTCGAGCCCTTCAGAAGAATCCCAGATCTTCAATAAGTGCTCAATCCATAGTTGCCCAAAGTTTGTTTTATTCCATTTTACTCGAGAAGATAACTGTGAAGTGTGTTTGGTGTTCAGATTTTTGGAGAACTACATACTGTATCTCCCAATTATGTATGATTGAACTTTTCCCCCACAACTGTTACTTCCTTTGGAACATTTTCAGGAGTTGGGGAAAATACTGATTTAGGGATATAATGATTTACAGAATCTAATGTTGGTAGAGTATACTTAGCAGTCTGTGTTGTGCTCTCAGGCTGCAACTGTGTCAGAAATACCCATGTCTTTTGGACTTGATCTTATCCAACCCTTATAAGCACTTTTGGGTAGTAGATGAATGATCAGAGAGGAGGTTGCCCATCAGTACACTATATGGAATGTCTGTGCAGTATTCACTGAACTTCAAGACTACTTTTGGAACAAGCATGGGGTGGGTCAAATTCCCAATTCCATAGGTGAGAGAATGGGTTTCTTTCGAGCTAACATTGCATAATTTTAGTTTTTGTCTGAAGTTAATCTGAGGTTATAGATAAAATTTGAAGAGTAGCCGTTAGCGACTAGATTTCTTACTGGTTCAGTTACTCAGCATTTCTAAATTTGGGAGTACTACTGACGTTTCCATGGGACAGTTTTTTGTCTTGGACTGGATATTACAGGATATTTCTCATGGTTTTCCATGTTGTGATGATACCTCCAAATGTTACCCCCACTTTTTAATTTTTTTTATTTTTTAATTTTTATTTTTTTAATAATTTATTTTTTATTGTTCAGTTTGCCAACATACAGAATAACACCCAGTGCTCATCCCGTCAAGTGCCCCCCTAAGTTCCCGCCACCCAGGCACCCAGTCACCCCCCGCCCTCCTCCCCTCCCCGCCCCCTAGTTCGTTTCCCAGAGTTAGAGGAGTCTCTCATGTTGTCTCCCTTTCTGATATTTCCTCCCCATTTCTTCTCCCTTCCCCTCTATTCCCTTTCACTATTTATATTCCCCAAATGAATGAGACCATATGTTTGTCCTTCTCCGATTGACTTTTCACTCAACATAATACCCTCCAGTTCCATCCACGTTGAAGTAAATGGTGGTCACCCCTCTTTTTTTTTAAGTAGCATCTCCTGGTTAAGAGCTACAGAGTTATGAAAATTTGTAAATGTTCTCAAATGCTCATATTTTCATATCCAGACTGGTGTGCCCAATGTGGCTTTTTTTTTTTTTTTTTAAAGATTATTGATTCATTCATGAGAGACAGAGGCAGAGACCAGCAGAGGGAGAAGCAGGCTCCATGCAGAGAGCCCAATGTGGGACTCAATCCCAGAACTCCAGGATCATGCCCTGAGCCGAAGGCAGACCAGACCCGCCCACTGAGCCACCCAGGCATTCCGCCAATGTGGTTTAAAATGTTTGAAATCTGTCCTTGAATTACTTGGTCACATCACACTACTGATGATATTAGTCTGTTCCATAGTTGCTAGAAATGTTTGTCTTTGGGTTAAGGACATTATGTGCTTATTTTGTACTTGATAAGTTTTGCCTTTCAAATGGAGTTTTCAGTGGTTTGGGTTATTGGGATTGGTTTGACTCCAGGTTGACTAGTTATAATTTAATTTCTTAAGGGGTGGTCCCTGAAGAATACAATATTGCAGTTCTCATTTCTTTGTAATGGTTCTGATTCAGGACTTCTGGCTGCAGGCATTTTGGAATGATGGCTTATAGGAAATAATTTGATTTCTGGGGGCTTCATGGTAGTTTTAATAAGCTATAAGTTCATTCAGTTTTTGCCTTTTCTTTACATGTGCTTTTTTATTTTGTTTTTAAAGGTTTTATTATTTATTCAAGAGAGACAAAGATGTAGGCAAAGAGAGAATCAGGCTCCCTGCAGGGGAGCCTGATGCGGGACTTAATCCTAGGACCCCGGAATCATGACCTGAGCCAAAGCAGATGCTCAACCACTGAGCCGCCCAGGTGCCCTATATGTGCTTTTTGTGTACTCCCCATTCTTCAAGAAAGGCATTTAGATTTAAAGTTCAGAGAAAAGGAGTTTAAAGCTAGTAGACGGGGGGTTGGGGTGACTGGGTGACGGGCACTGAGGAGGGCACTTGATGGGATGAGCACTGGGTGTTATGCTGTATGTTGGCAAATCGAACTCCAATAAAAAATAAATACAAAAAAAATAAAGCTAGTAGATGGGAAACCTCTCACTCATTCTGGCTTGGGACAGCTGTGATGAAGTGCCATTAAAATGCTGCCAGAATTAGAGAAAATAACCACTGACCAGGAAGATGTGGGAAGGTCTGAGTTGGTATTTTTAAATGTTATTTTTCTGATTATAATCAAAGTAATGTGTTTGGCTGGGAAGCTCTAATATGCAGGGGACTGCAGGGAATTCCAGCCAGTTGGATTTATTCCATACTCGAGTACTGAGCTACTGGTTAGGTCTAGAGATAGAAATGTCCCAAAGAAGAGGCTGATTATTGTGAAATGTGTTCATTGCAATCGGTATCCTATGGTGACAGGGGCAAAAGGTACAGAGAAAAGAAACCAAACTCTAGACTGGTCATGAATGCAATTAGTTGGGCCTTCTGAAAGATCTGCTTCGTGGAAAACAATTCTTTGCAAATCTTATTTCCAGCTGCTCCTTAACACTTGTGCTCCCTCTATCTGCAGTGGCATCTGGCTTCTTCCTCTCCTTTTCCAGGCCTACCCCAACATCCTCTTGAGTCTAGATTGAGTGCCTCTGAGTTAACATAAGAACCTTTTTTATGGCATTAATCGCACCTGTTTCTTACTAAGGTCCTAGAGAACAGACACTCAACATTTTCAACTTTATATCACTTAGGAATTCAAACACCAGGGTGAATTATGACTTTTAGGTTTTAAGCATTTACTTAATTCTCATTAATATGCTTGTGACCTTCTAGACTAGAATTTCATCTTCATCTTGTTGATGGTAGGTCTTGAACATCTTGTACATTTACTATAATTTACTACCTCCTGTTTACTTCAAAAGAGAATTTAGGCATGGGAATCTGCCAAAGTATTTCCCTTAGATAAGGTAAGCAAAGCATTCATTCGCTCAATATATATATAAATTACCATTTTTGTGTCAGATATTATGGGCTTCTAAAAAATAAAAACATAATAGCTAATAATTGAGTATTAAAGATTATACTTTACTAAGTAATGTACATGTTAACCCATTTAATCCTCTTGACAGTCCAGTGAAGTACTATTAGTCCCATATGATAGATGAAGAAATCATGGTTTATGAAGGTCACCAAAATAAACCTGGATGTAAAACCTGAGACCTACGATAGCAAAACAAGGAAAATGGAAAAATGTTTCAGATTATAGACTTCAAAGTATCTTGGATTAATAGGTAAATATGGATTGATTGGAGGCCTTTGTTTCCTATGAAGGCATTTTCCTCCCCAAGGTGAAAGGGAAGGTGCAGTCTAGAGCCACTAGAGGGAGCTGAGATTCAACAGAAAGCAAAGGATGCTTGAGCCAAGGAGGCAATGCCTGAGCTGGGAGCCTGTCTCTGAAGGGGTGCCAACCCAAATCAGTACTTCCTAGTCAAAACCTGTTCATGATCAGCTAGAGGACTCCAATACAAATACAAACTGAAGGTTTAGTACTTTGAATCACAACTTTTATATTTGGAGAGAATCAGATGATTTTCAGGTAAGATTGACACTTAGGAAATGCTCTTCCCACTCATCACTGACTTTCGGGAGGACATTCTGATAAAAAACACTCACCTTGAAATATTTAAACATAAGCATACTGAAGGTGTTCTGTTTAAAAAGCACCATTTGGCCTCAAATACAGTAACTTACATGGGAAGGATGTCATTTTGGGAGTCTTCATTTTTTTTGTTTAAGATTTATTAGAGACCATTCATGGCAGTCAGGAGGGAGAATGAATCCCCAAGCAGACTTCCCCTGAGCTTGGAGCCACACAAGTTCTCATCCCAGGACCCCAAGATCCATGACCCAAGCCGAAATCAAGACCCAGACACCCAAACAATTAAGCTACCCAGGAGCCCCTACCTTTGGCTTTTTAAAATTCATATTTGTTTTTGAGTTTTATTATGTGTACATGTAGATCTAGTGCATTCCTTTTAAATATATGGTATGCCTGAGGTAGGAACCAAACAACAATTTTATCAGTTTCCTTTCTGATGATTAGGCTATTTTCATTTTGTGACTTATAAACTTGAGTAACGTTCTTGTACAGGTCTCCTATGTGTTAAAGTCCTCTAGTTAGATGCCTGTGAGTGCAGTTGCTGGAGTGCAAGTTTTGTGCATTTTCAGTTTTATTAGGTATTGACACATAATCCAAAGAGCATGCCCATTTGCATTCTCACTAGTTGTGTACAAGAACCTCATTTTCTTCATCCTTGCCAACACTAGTCAGACATACTAATTTTTGCCAAGCTGATTGTTTTAACCTGCATTTTCCTAATTGCCAGCAAGGTTCAACATTTTTTTTTTCAAATGCATACTTACCGTTGCCCATATACACACACCTTGTATTTAAAGTTAAACTAGAAAAAAAAAAAGTTAAACTAGAAATTTTACACAGAATGCCATTCTCTGAAGTGAATTTTAATATTGTATAAAAAAATCAATTTGTTATACGAGTACATATGTATTACGATTTTATGCATACATCCATATACATACATCAAGGTAAAAATCCAATACAAAAAAAATAGCTTTTCTTATGGCCAGTGTTCTACAGAAGACTGCAAACAAAAATATTTTGAGTCAAATGCAATCACAACACTCAAAGATGGGACAAGGCAAAAGCAAATCATGTCCACAATATGTTAGAGTATTTTGCATAGCTTATTTGTTCTCACTTTATAATCTCATTTTTAGGATTCTGAAGGACGTGCTCTTTGTTCTATAGCAAACTAGCTATCAGTACTAGTTATGTTTTACTTTACAACTTTAGAGACTTAATCACAGCTCGAACACTGAGGCTCCAAACTGCTTTCACTGTAACCCTTGATACAATGATGTACAAGTATGTAGAACATTTCAAATCTTCATCTGTATCTCAGGCGATTTTCCAGGGCTTCCATTCTTTGTGTCATTTCTTCTAGTAAATCTCTAATTAAGGAAGAGGAATCTGAATTGCCTATTTTTATTTGCATTCAAATAAAACTTTTTGATTTAGTTATATAAAAATTTGTACTGAAAAATACAAGCCTTTGGCTTTTTCCCTTTTTGAAAAATTTTTAAACCGACTTGAAGGTTTATAGTAAGCCATTTAACATATGTTATCAAGACTATAACTCTCAGGTTAAATACTTTTTAATATCAAAGCCAAATAATTCAGTTAAAAATTTGGGTTTTTTTTTTTTTTTTGAGAGAGACCATGTGTGGGTAGGGGAGGAGTAGGGGTGGGGAGGTGGAGAATCCTACGCAAAATCTACCCTCAGCGCAGAGCCTGACATGGGACTCGTTCTCACAACCCTCAGATCTTGATCTGAGCCAAAATCACGGATTGGAGGTTCAACCGACTAAGCCACTCAGGCACCCCAAAACTCTAAGTCTTTCAGATTCTACTCATACTTGTGTTGCCTGTAAATTAGTTTGCCATAATGCACCTTTGGGACCCAGAAGTGATAATGTTGGGAATGTAGTGAAGAGAAGGATTCAGTCTGAGTAAGAGATGATGTCACAAGAGAAGAGAGATTAGGGACTTTAAACCCTGATACCAGATATGGCCAAAGGGTAGCAGCCTTGAAGACTTCTGACCTATGTTTTTATATATAACTTCCTTAGTTTTGAGAAGTAGACCCTGCTGAATAGCAGGGTGGGGAAAGGGAGAGGAGGGGGCATTAGAACAAGCATGTGTTTTCATTTATTTTTTTTTTAAGATTTTATTTATTTATTCATTCATGATAGTCACACAGAGAGAGACAGAGACACAGGCAGAGGGAGAAGCAGGCTCCATGCAGGGAGCCAGACATGGGATTCGAACCCGGGTCTCCAGGATCGCACCCCGGGCCAAAGGCAGGCGCCAAACCGCTGCGCCACCCAGGGATCTCCAAGCATGTGTTTTCATATAAGTGTGTTTCATATAAGTTTCATATAAGTTCCTTAATACCCTCCACCTGTCCCCTTGTTGGCAGAATGAGCCTGGATTCATCACCTACATTAACCAGATTCTCTTAGGGGAGCGTATTTCCAGCTTTCAGAAAGGGAATTGCTACATTTGTTCCTTATTATATAACCCCATTGGCACAGAGAGGGTTCAGAATTCAACTTTTTGTCTATAGGCTAGTTGATGCATGCTGAGATAGAGATGAGCCAGCTTTAGTAAGCTTACTGTAATTTTAAGTTCAGAACAGCTGACAATATAAAAACACTGAATCCTCATTTCTCCATTATCTCAAAGCATTCCTTTTATGTGTAATATTGATTTAATGAATCATTGGGTTCTGCTGCCCCCTTGATAGAATGTTTCATCTTAGAGTGCTGATATGAAAGATCTCTGCCGCCAAACAAAAAAAACTCCAGTTTTCTAGAAACTACACACGGGCAGCCTGGTGGCTCAGTGGTTTAGTGCTGCCTTCAGCCCAGGGCATGATCCTGGAGACCCGGGATCGAGTCCCACATCAGGCTCCCTGCATGGAGCTTGCTTCTCCCTCTGCCTGTGTCTCTGCCTCTCTCTCTCCTCTCTGTGTATTCTCATGAATAAATACATAAAAATCTTAAAAAAGAAAAAAAGAAACTACACACTTACCACAGTGGCTGTAATGTGGCTTGGGGCCAAAGGAAAGGTTTGGAATTTTGACGGAGTTTGAAACTTCTTCATTCTACATTCTTTGCCTAGACTTACTGAACTTTTGATGCACATCAGACCTGGTACATGTCCTGCTTTTCCTCTCAGCAGAAAGGGAGTTAAATTTTTTTGTTTGTTTGTTTGTTTTGGTTTTTGAGGGGAGTTAAATTTTAAGTCTATTTTCTCTTTACTTTGCATGCTGGCTGGCTGGCTAGCTGGCCTCACTGCTAGATCCCTGGAATAGCAGATAGCAACTGAGTGCTTGACTCTTGCCACAAAGCTTGGCTTGCTCTTGGCCCTCAAACACCTAGCAGGCTGCTTAAGAAGAAACTCCTTTCTGGGAGTTCACTCTTCTTGACATTATGGAAATGACTTCATTTAATATATACCCACAGACAATATTTGTGAAGTTTGGTGAAATTCTTTACGTCACACACAAGCATCGTGTTAGAAAAGGATATAGCGTTGTGTTAACTTTCTCACTTCTTCATTCGCAAGGTTCTGGAACATTATAAGATTTTCACATTTGCATTGATCGTGTTTTTCTTCCAAAGGACTTCCTGAGAAAGCACATGGAAAGTATTCACTCACCTCTATAACCCACTAGACTTCCCAGATGCATAATAATAGGACTGAATCAGCAGAAACCAAAATGAAAGAAATGTTCAACTTTTCCATGCAGCCAGACCGGGTAAATACCAGGAAAGGGCTGCATGGGCTTCCAACACTGACAGCTGCCACGAGTGTGGACTACATGGGAGGCTACCCCAGTGTCTTTCAGTTAATTCTTCTCGTTCTCATTTCACTTAGGCCCTACTCTTCTCCCCTGTCCTATTTCCTACTGCCTCCTTTCCTTTGCTCCTTGTGGGTAAGTCTTTTTTTTTTTTTTTAATAAATTAATTTTTATTGGTGTTCAATTTACCAACATACAGAATAACACCCAGTGCTCTCATCCCGTCAAGTGCCCCCCTCAGTGCCCGTCACCCATTCACCCCCACCCCCTGCCCTCCTCCCCCTCCACCACCCCTAGTTCGTTTCCCAGAGTTAGGAGTCTTTATGTTCTGTGTCCCTTTCTGATATTTCCCACACATTTCTTCTCCCTTCCCTTATATTCCCTTTCACTATTATTCATATTCCCCAAATGAATGAGAACATACACTGTTTGTCTTTCTCCGATTGACTCACTTCACTCAGCATAATACCCTCCAGTTCCATCCACATTGAAGCAAATGGTGGGTATTTGTCGTTTCTAATGGCTGAGGAATATTCCATTGTATACATAAACCCTGTGGGTAAGTCTGTTGACCAGCTAAGAGGCTGATATCGAATCACCTGACAGCAATACTGTTTTGGGAATTACCTGAAGATTTTGTTGAGTGGAAAAGTTTTTGTGTGGACCGTGAAACACTGTCTTCTTCAAACAGATACCGGTGTTGCACTGCAAAATTAGAACAGGAAAGTAGGTCTCGGATATTTATGGTGACTGGCTCAGATTCTGTAAAGAGAAAGAAAACTGAAGTCAAACCTGCCTAACACGGTTGTGGATATAACACGGCCATCAGCGGTCAGAGTAAGGTACTTGGTATTCCTAGCGTGTGGTACACAGCTTTGCTTTGGGACATACTGAGGCAAAAGACTGTCAGTTGAGAGGGACTATTCCCAAATATGGCTTAAAGTGTAGAGTGCGGGTTTCCTGTGTGACCGAGGGAAAAAAGCCATAGTTGACATAATCCTAATCTTACTGAGTTTCACTTCTGAATGATTTTTGTCTGGGGGAAACCATGGTGGAAGCATCCACCAAAGGTTCTAGAAACACTGCTTTTAAAAAGTTTACCTGTTGGCTTTTTAGAATTTTACCTGTTGGCTGGTGGACCCTCTTTGGCAGTTCTCCTGCTGGGGAGTCCTGACTTCCATCAGAATCTTCCAGAGCTGAGAGGAAAAAGATGACCAAAGAGAGTGACAATTGTCTGTATGCTTGTGTTCTTTCAGAAGCTCATCCCAGCTCCCCACCTACCTGCTGTCTGTCACCCAGGGTGTTTCGGTTTTATTTGGTTAACACTGCTTCAAAAAGCAATTGGTTTCTAGAGTAATCCAAGACCACACTAGGGATGTTCTCTTGTACATGAAATCTAGACTGCTTCAATGCATCTTACTTAACAATACCCCAAAAAATGTCATGTCCAGGAGGGAGGGTGGGAAAAAAGTTCCAGTGGACCAAGGACTAAGCTGCTGCTCCGTAGCAGTAGCTCTACCAGGCATTTCAGCTTGAAGGAAACAGCCTAGAGGTGAAATCCTACCCCCTCCCTTTTGGAAATTTGAAAGGCCTTCCCTCTGCATCCCCTTCTCCTCCCGCCTCGGGCTCATTGTTCTTTACTTTAGAGAAGTAAAACACAGCACTTGGTTTGGGATTTGATTGGTGACTGAACAGGGAAGAGAGGAGGGAGGTCAGGTGTTGGGGGAGAACTGCTCTAAGTGAGCCTCCTGGCACAGTGAGTGTAGTGCAGATTAGCACAGAGAGCTCTTGGACAGAACAATCTAGATTCTACAGGGCAGTCTTGTGTTCTGTAAATAGAAGTACTTGCAAGAAGGCATTCTTCACATTTGAAAGGACTACCCTCCCCACTCCCTTTCCACTCCAATTACAGGCATCTCCTGAAACTGTGCCTCAGCTCTGTGATGTGTGTAAACCTAGTTAAATGATCGCTTCTATAGGGGTCTTGTGAGGATTAAGTGTGCTGGTCTATCAAAACATTGATCACATCGCTCAGTACAGAGCTAGTGCTCACGCAGTGTTAGCTGCTAATTTGGTCTTCTCTCTTCCTGGTTCCATTTTTGTGCTTAGTGTTTCCAGGCATTACTGGCCCTGAACACCAGGGAGGCACTTTGTTGAGCACTTGGGAGGAATAGGTTGGGAATTTCTCAGCCAAGGGCTCCTGCTGCCCTGTGTGAGGAGCTCGGACAGAGGTCAGGCCACAGTACCTTCACATATACCCTTCTTTAGTTTTTCACTTATCTCTCCCATTGTGCTGAAGTCTTCGGCATAGAAGAGATGCTTGTCTGTGGGCTCAGAGGCAATCTCTTGTAGCTCTTCCTCAATAGCTTTTCCTACCCCGACAGCATACATAGTTATGCCTAAATTGCAGAGCAAATGAAGAACAAGGTAGTTAGAGCTGCATTCCCAGGGTCTGGAGGTTGTGTGCCCCGCACCCAAAGCCAGGTTGATATTCCATGCTGTGACTTGAGGGATCCATGTCAACCTCCCTTTATCTCTCTACCATTTTTACTTTGGCCCTATGAACCAAAGAGGGGGTTCCAAGAAAGAGGAAGGTGAGGCTTCTAGGGAAGGCTTCTAGACCACCAACCTGTTGCTCAGCCAAATCTTCAACTTTTCCCTGAATTAGCCTTGGGGATAAAGGAGAAAGGAGTACTATCTTATGACTTACTAAATGGGAATCTCTTCTGGGAAAATTCTAAGAAGCAGGTCAAATTATGACCTTTTAATCTAGTTTCTACTTCTTAAGGGTATATAGGATAGGACCTTTTATTTTATTTTATTTTTATTTTTATTTTTTTTAGGATAGGACCTTTTAATGATGGGGGTGGGGGAGAAGGGCCTCTTGGAAGGACTATGAGGAGGTGCTAAGCTGAGAAGGAAAATCTGCAGACCACTGAGAATCCCCCAAGTCAGAAAGAAAGAATAAACCCAAGTACCAACCTTAGATTTCAACAGCGATATAAAATTACTCCAAAAGCTTTTCTTTTTCTTTTGTTTTAATAATAAATTTATTTTTATTGGTATTCAATTTGCCAACATACAGAATAACACCCAGTGCTCATCCCGTCAAGTGCCCCCCTCAGTGCCCGTCACCCATTCACCTCCACCCCCCGCCCTCCTCCCTTCCACCACCCCTAGTTCGTTTCCCAAAGTTAGGAGTCTTCATGTTCTGTCTCTCTTTCTGATATTTCCCACTCATTTCTTCTCCTTTCCCTTCTATTCCCTTTCACTATTATTTATATTCCCCAAATGAATGAGACCATATAATGTTTGTCCTTCTCCAATTGACTCATTTCACTCAGCATAATACCCTTCAGTTCCATCCATGTCGAAGAAAATGGTGGGTATTTGTCATTTCTAATGGCTGAGTAACATCCCATTGTATACATAGACCACATCTTTCTTTATCCATTCATCTTTCGATGGACACCGAGGCTCCTTCCACAGTTTGCCTATTGTGGACATTGCTGCTATAAACATCGGGGTGCAGGTGTCCCAGTGTTTCATTGCATCTGTATCTTTGGGGTAAATCCCCAACAGTGCAATTGCTGGGTCGTAGGGCAGGTCTATTTTTAACTCTTTGAGGAACCTCCACACAGTTTTCCAGAGTGGCTGCACCAGTTCACATTCCCACCAACAGTGTAAGAGGGTTCCCTTTTCTCCACATCCTCTCCAACATTTGTGGTTTCCTGCCTTGTTAATTTGCCCCATTCTCACTGGTGTGAGGTGGTATCTCATTGTGGTTTTGATTTGTATTTCCCTGATGGCAAGTGATACAGAGCATTTTCTCATGTGCATGTTGGCCATGTCTATGTCTTTCTCTGTGAGATTTCTCTTCATGTCTTTTGCCCATTTCATGATTGGATTGTTTGTTTCTTTGGTGTTGAGTTTAATAAGTTTTTTTTTTTAAGATTTTATTTATTTATTCATAGAGATGCAGGGAGAGAAAGAGAGGCAGAGACACAGGCAGAGGGAGAAGCAGGCTCCATGCAGAGAGCCCGACGTGACACTCGATCCAGGGTCTCCAGGATCACGCCCTGGGCTGCAGGCGGCGCCAAACCTCTGCGCCACCGGGGCTGCCCTAATAAGTTCTTTATAGATCTTGGAAACTAGCCCTTTATCTGATATGTCATTTGCAAATATCTTCTCCCATTCTGTAGGTTGTCTTTTAGTTTTGTTGACTATATCCTTTGCTGTGCAAAAGCTTCTTATCTTGATGAAGTCCCAACAGTTCATTTTTGCTTTTGTTTCTTTTGGCTTCCTGGATATATCTTGCAAGAAGTTACTGTGGCTGAGTTCAAAAAGGGTGTTGCCTGTGTTCTCCTCTAGGATTTTGATGGAATCTTGCCTCACATTTAGATCTTTCATCCATTTTGAGTTTATCTTTGTGTATGGTGAAAGAGAGTGGTCCAGTTTCATTCTTCTGCATGTGGATGTCCAATTTTCCCAGCACCATTTATTGGAGAGACTGTCTTTCTTCCAGTGGATAGTCTTTCATCCTTTATCGAATATTAGTTGACCATAAAGTTGAGGGTCCACTTCTGGGTTCTCTATTCTGTTCCATTGTGTCTGTTTTTGTCTAGTACCACACTGTTTTGATGACCACAGCTTTCTAGTACAACCTCAACTCTGGCATTGTGATGCCCCCAGCTATGGTTTTCTTTTTTAAAATTCCCCTGGCTATTCGGGGTCTTTTCTGATCCACACAAATCTTAAAATAATTTGTTCCAACTCTTTGAAGAAAGTCCATGGTATTTTGATAGGGATTGCATTAAACGTGTAAATTGCCCTGGGTAACATTGACATTTTCACAATATTAATTCTGCCAGTCCATGAGCATGGAATATTTTTCCATCTCTTTGTGTCTTCCTCAATTTCTTTCAGAATTGTTCTATAGTTTTTAGGGTATAGACCCTTTACCTCTTTGGTTAGGTTTATTCCTAGGTATCTTATGCTTTTGGTGCAATTGTAAATGGGATTGACTCCTTAATTTCTCTTTCTTCCGTCTCATTGTTAGTGTATAGAAATGCCACTGACTTCTGGGCATTGGTTTTGTATCCTGCCACACTGCCAAATTGCTGTATGAGTTCTAGCAATCTTGGGGTGGAGGCTTTTGGGTTTTCTAGGTAGAGTATCATGTCATTGGCGAAGAGGGAGAGTTTGACTTCTTTGCCAATTTGAATGCCTTTAATGTCTTTATGTTGTCTGATTGCTGAGGCTAGGACTTCCAATACTATGTTGAATAGCAGTGGTGAGAGTGGACATCCCTGTCTTGTTCCTGATCTTAGGGGAAAGGCTCCCAGTGCTTCCCCATTGAGAATGATATTTGCTGTGGGCTTTTTGTAGATGGCTTTTAAGATGTCGAGGAAAGTTCCCTCTATCCCTACACTCTGAAGAGTTTTGATCAGGAATGGATGCTGCATTTTGTCAAATGCTTTCTCTGCATCTAATGGGAGGATCATATGGTTCTTGGTTTTTCTCTTGCTGATATGATGAATCACATTGATTGTTTTACGAGTGTTGAACCAGCCTTGTGTCCCAGGGATAAATCCTACTTGGTCATGGTGAATAATTTTCTTAATGTATTGTTGGATCCTATTGGCTAGTATCTTGTTGAGAATTTTTGCATCCATGTTCATCAGGGATATTGGTCTGTAATTCTCCTTTTTGGTGGGGTCTTTGGTTTTGGAATTAAGGTGATGCTGGCCTCATAGAATGAATTTGGAAGTACTCCATCTCTTTCTATCTTTCCAAACAGCTTTAGTAGAATAGGTATGGTTTCTTCTTTAAACGTTTGATAGAATTCCCCAGGGAAGCCATCTGGCTCTGGACTCTTGTGTCTTGGGAGGTTTTTGATGACTGCTTCAATTTCCTCCCTGGTTATTGGCCTGTTCAGGTTTTCTGTTTCTTCCTGTTCCAGTTTTGGTAATTTGTGGCTTTCCAGAATTGAGTCCATTTCTTCTAGATTGCCTAATGTATTGGCGTAGAGCTGTTCATAATATGTTTTTAAAATCGTTTGTATTCCAATAGCTTTTCTAAACAACAGAAGTCATTAGACTCACTTCCTCCCTATATGCCTTGCTTGAAACTAAAACACAGTAAGAACTTAAATTCACTCCCATTTTCAACATTTCTTAGGACTGATATCTTGTTCTGGCTAATTCATAGGCTGAATTAAAACACACACACACACACACACACACACACACAACCACACACAAATGGCTCCTTAAGCCAAGGGGCAAGAGTTATGCCTTGCTGTAAGTCTATGTTGGATCAATAGGCAAGTTCAACATATTTGGGAGCCCAGTGACTTGATACAAACTTCCTAAAAAGGATAACTACTATTTTATCTTTTGAAAAAAAATATTAGCGAGGCATAGGAGTAATTAAATTCATCCAGAGGATTTCACTTTAGTAAATTTTGTTGATTTTAGAACCAAATAAATAACAGTTTTTCGTACGATCTGCCCTTGGGTGATTGGTGGGGATCTGAGTAGGCAAAAGAGTAAGGTAGGCTGATCTCAATGAGACACATAAAAGGGATAACCATGGTCTTTGGAGACAAGATATTTCCCTCAGTATACTTTAAAAATGCAGGCTGGAACCTGAGTTCTCAAGTTAGGAAAGCAGAGGAACAGGGTCTGAGCAGCCAGCTTTACAGTCCATTCAGAAGGTTCACAAGAGGACACTTTTCATGGCTACTATTCTATTGGGCTAGAGAAAAAGAAGTCAGTGTGAGGTACACAATACCAATAAAATAGCTGCCTTCACAGAGAGTGTCAGTGTGCGCCAGCCTTTCTGTGAGGAGGAATGGACTTCACTGTCCTTGTTCATCTACTCAGCAAGTATTAGTCACAGTTACTATGTGCCAGGCCTGGTCTAGGTACTGGGTGCATCACTTCTGAGACGAAGCCCTGTCGGTACACCGTTCCCCTCCTTATAGGACTCGCTAGAGCAATGTGCCCTCCACAATTCTTGAAAAGCAGGTTTCAAGCAAACTGCTTTAAAACCTCAAATTTTCTCATTTCCCCAAGAAATCCAGTCACTTTGCCTTACTCTAGCTCTACCAGCTACCCTAACTTTTGGGTTTCTTCCACCACCCCCCCCTTTTTAAAGATTTTATTTATGTATTCATGAGAGACAGAGAGAGAGAGAGGCAGACACACAGGCAGAGGGAGAAGCAGGCTCCCTGCGGAGAGCCGGATGCGGGACTCGATTGGGGTCTCCCGGATCACGCCCTGGGCTGCAGGCAGACGCTCCTCCGCTGAGCCCCCCCGGGCGCCCCTGGGTTTCCTTTTCTGAGGTCCACTTTCCTCTGTCACACTTTACATCTATGCACAACTAAAGTAACTGCCAGGTCCCCCCTCCACCACGATACAGGAGTCAGGAAAACTCGAAGAGGCTTTGCTTTCTGGAGGAAGAACCTAGTCGTAATTTCTTCCAACGTTTTCATTTTCTCAGAAGCTAGCCTTGGCCTTGGCCTTGGCCTTGGCCTCCTACAAGCACCAGGGTATTCGCTACCGCAAGGCTGTTGTGCTTTCCGAGTGTTCACCCGAGGCGCTCGTTTAAGAAAGAAAAAGCGATCCGGAAAGGCCCCTCGGAGCAGGAGTCTCCCTGTGCCGACCTCCTCGGGGCATCCGAAAGCGAGCAGGCGGGGGTCGCGAGCGGCGCTGCTAGGGCCCTGCGCCCGGGCCGAGAGCGGCCAGGCCCCGGCGGGCGTGGGCGTGGGGGCGTGGGGGCGTGGGGGCGTGGGCGTGGGGGCGGGGGCGGGGGGGCGCGGGGGCGGGGGGCGCGGGGGCGTGGGCGCGGGGGGCGTGGGGGCGGGGGCGTGGGGGCGCGGGGGCGGGGGGCGCGGGGCGGGGGGCGCAGGGGCGGGGGCGGGGGCTGCTGGCGAGGCGCGGGCGCTGGCCGGGGCCGACGGCGCGGCGGGAGGACTCACGGCCGCGCCCGGGATGCCCGGGGTCGGGGTTGGGGTCGGGGTGGGGGGGGGGGTGCTCCGCAGGCAGCCGCTCCCCAGCTCAGACCCCGCGCGGCGCCCGACCGCCTGGACCCTCGGAGCGTCTCAGGAACCCGCGCCGCCCGCCCGCCCCTCTTACCGCCGGCCCGGGCCCTGCGGGCCCACGCGGAGACGTCGTCCTGAGCCCGGCCGTCCGTGAACACGATGGCCACTCTGGACACCCCGGGGGACACAGGCCTGGCCCCTTCCACTGGGTCAAAACTTCTCTCAAGCATGTGTTTCAGGGCCAGCCCCGTCATGGAGCCCTTGCCCATGTACTTCATGTGGGCCACGGCTTTCTTCATGTCTCTGGCCGAGCTGAAGTCTCCCAGGGCGAACTCCGTGCGGACCTGCGTAGAATACTGCAGCAGCCCCACGCGGGCGGCTTTGGGGGAGACCGCCAAGGAATCTATGATGCCCGCGACGAACTGCTTGACAGTCTCGAAATTCTCTTCCCCGAGGCTCTTGGACCCATCGATCACAAAGACCAGGTCGAGCGGGCCTTCAGTGCACCCTCAGGAAGGAAAAGAAAGTTGAGATGGTTACGTGATCAAGACGCAGGCAGAGTACCAGAAGAGCAGGCTCCCGCTGGAGGCGCAGCCACCCCGGAGAAGCACCTTCCTTTAGGTGATACACAGGACTCCGTAAGGGGTGGGGACAGTCACAAGCCACAGTAATTTTCACATTTGCCTTTCTCAGTGGCTTGTTCGATTGATAAAAATAGCATTTTTCACAAACAAAATCACCCACCAGAGGTAGAAAGTGTCAGGGAAACTAGGTCCACGCTGTACTCTGTGTCACTGACAGCCAAGTCTGGGAGGGACTGTGTGTAGAGTACACTGTAGGGTCTGCCAGCACCCACAAGATTCCTGCAGCTCTACTCCGGGAGGGTGACATTACCCCGGTGCTGGCATTCTGACCCAGAGCAGAGAAGGAAATTCTTAAATCAGCTCAGTTGTCATCTCTCCCAGAGAGCATTCCTAGTAACGCCGATTGGATTAGTTATGCTCTGTACTCCTAGCAACTACGAATTTATTCAACAAAAATTTGCTTCTTGAGTACCTACTTCACACAAGGCAGCGGGCACAGTGGGATTGCAATAGTGACCAAGGCAAAATCCCTGACATGAAGTTGCTTCCAGTCCAGTGTAGTCGGTACAGTACTCCACATGGCACACTGACTGCCTGATTACGTGTCACCCTCTCTGGTCTGCCAGTTCCTCCTCAGCAAGTTCCATGTCTTATTCACTTCTGTATCCCCATTCCTGACACACAACAGTTGTTCAATAAATGCTTCTTGACAGAATAAATGAAGGAGGTGGTGGTGTTTGGGTAGCATACCTGTAACTACCCTATCAACTCATTGAAGCTTAGAAATGAATCATCACTGTGAATTCTTTATCTGTATGGAAGCTCTTCAGGCAACTCAAATGGTCGAAAGGAAAGCTCTATGCGAATATTTAAGCAATCCGGAAATCTGGGTATGGACAGACTTTTTGTTATTTAGAGCTGCATAAAAAAATGTACAGATCCCAAATGAATGATCTCACTTCAAACGATCTACAGTATGTACTGTAACATTGTCTTTCACATATCAAGCAGTTGTCTAATATTTGGAAGTCGAGCACAACAATATAAGCAAGTAAGGATGCACAAAAGCAAAATTATTTCTGTGTGTGGCCTCCAAATAATATGCTAGTGTGTGTGTGTGTGTGTGTGTGTGTGTGGTTAGGGGGTTGAATTCTTCTCTTTTCTCGTTAAGTGCTTATCCCTGTTATTCAATTTATTGACCATTTATTAGTGAAAGAAGAAAAGGCCAATTCAGGGCTTCATTTACATTCACAGCCTATTCTTGAATCAGCAACAACAACAAAAGACCCTCAGGCGGCCTGCACATGGCTCTCCAGCAGATTGTAGAAATACTGGAATAATTTTCCAGCAGCAGGTCTCTTTTGTCGTCTTCCCCACACACTCTTTTCTTACAGAACAAAATCAGTACTTGCAGCCTCTATGCATCAAAAGACACAAAAGGCTTCTCCAGGAAGTAAGAATGCTGGATAAAGAGGAAGAACATAAGGGCAAGAAGTCCCAGATTTGCGCTCTCTGATCCAAGAAGAATGATGGCTCCTTGGTTGGCTACTTGTTTGCAGGAGGGTCGCTACAATCATATTTGAGCATTTTCCTTTCATAGTTAAGGAGATTGCAATGGAGCAGTGATTTGCCTTCAGAATTTAATTTTCAGAGTTTCAGAATTCCAGGGTTGGACAAGACCTTAAAGATCTTTAAAGACAAGACCAGTACAGCCCTCTTGTTGCTTACATCTTTATGATAGCCCTACCCAGTAACCATTCAGCCTGGATCTGAACACCTCTCATGATGGAGAGATCACCTCGCCATTAACGCCCCACCTCTGGACATCTCTGCTGTGGATGATTACAATAGCTATTATTTTTTGAGCAGTTAGTATGTGCCAGCATTGGGCTAAGCACCTTTAAATACATGATCTTTATTACTCATGGTGATTCTGTGAAGCATTATTCTTCATTTTTTTTTAATTTTTTTTTTAATTTATGATAGTCACACAGAGAGAGAGAGAGAGGCAGAGACACAGGCAGAGGGAGAAGCAGGCCCCATGCACCGGGAGCCCGACGTGGGATTCGATCCTGGGTCTGGATCTGGATCGCGCCCTGGGCCAAAGGCAGGCGCCAAACCGCTGCGCCACCCAGGGATCCCTATTCTTCATATTATATATATTTTTTATTGGAGTTTATTCCTCATATTATAGATGAAGAAACTGAGACTCAGAAAAGTTAAATAATTTGTCTAAGGTCACACAGGTAGTAGGAATAGGGGTTGAAGCCCAGGTCTGTCTGACCCAAAGTTCATGATCTTAACGAACTAATCACGCAGCTTCCCTGACAGTGTCTTTGTCCTCATGCTGAGCTATAGCTTCTGACCACTGTTCTTTCTTTCCCTGTGGGTGTCATATAAGTCACAAAAGAAGTAACTGTCACTTTGGTATTGGAATGATTCCTCAAGTCTTTTTCTACAAAGATCCCCAGTTTCTTCCTTTATTTTTCACTTGACGTAGTACTGAGCTTCCTAAGTACAGGTACTAAGTATAATCTGCCTCCTAAATCTTGCTTGTCCTTACCTTTTTTTAAAAATTTTTTTTCTAAAAAATAATGCATTCACATGGAACAGAATTTAAACATTACAAAAGGACATATGCATATGTATGTATGTGTGTGCATTTCTATTTATCTAATACAAATAGAAGTGGAACTGCCTTTAAAATATTACCAAACTGCTCTCTAATGGTTGTACTGATTCAGACACACAGTGTGATAAGTTTATAGCTGCCATTACGATATACCTTTGTCAACACGAGGAGTCATCAACCTTTTTGATCTGATAATAGGTTTTAAAAAAAGACATCAGTTTTAATCTTTCACTATGCATTTTCTTTTAAAAAAATGGTTTGTATGTTTCATGTCATGTTTAGAAAGGTCTTCTCTACTCTGATCTCACAAAATAATTTTCCTTTTTTTTCATGATACTTTAGAGGGCTTTTTTTTTAATGTTTAAACTTAGATCTATCTTTCTCTTTCTTTTTATCTTCCTCTTCATTTTAGCCCAGAATGTAATTCCCCAGCACAGAGCAGAGGACAAATCTTACATCTCTCATCTAGGTATGCTCATTCAGCCTCAGATCACTCCAGCCTTTTGGCTGATAGCAAATTTACTGTCAATTAAAACCAAAAGTTTTTCCATAGGTGCCTCAGTTAAGCTCCATTATGGGAGAAGCAGAGGTGAAGGATTTGTTTCCTGAAAATATTCCAAAGAGCAATTGCTCCCAAACCAAATTAAAGCAGAAAGTCAAGTTCAGATCACTTACTCTTGCACCGTCTTCCATCCTCAGCTAGAACAAATCCCTCTGAGCATTTGCAGATGTAGGAGTTGCCATGATTAACACAAATGTGTTCACAGCCGTGGTAGGTCGATTTGCAGACATCCTTCCCTGAGGGAAATGTAGGGAGTTGAGCAACCTCATCCATGCAGGAATGAGCTAGACTGAATGGTCACATCAGGTCAAGATCACAGAAGTAATCCATTTTTATAAAAACCATTCCTGTTTAAACTTCCTCTATAATATGCCCTTTTTTCATTCTAATACTCAGGATAGGGCGTGGGAAGGGAGAAGCTCTTCTCAGAAAGCCCCAGCCCCCACAGGTCTGAAGCCCCACCCCACAGGGTGATTGGGCATCCTGTATTTCTTATTAATTTTTAGAATTATTTAATGTTGCTTTGGGTTTTGACTTTCCCAAACTACTGATTTTTTCCCCATAGACATCCCAAACACTATAGTTTTAATTAATGAACGTTTCTCATGTGTGAGGTACTTTAAATGCTTCAGAGTAGTTACAGCCCTCTAATCTTCACAACATTCTGTAAGAAGACAAAAGCAGGAATAATTATACCCAGTGTATACATGAAGAAACTCAAAACATGTCACAGAGTCACCTGAGGTCTTGCAGCAAGTTGATGGCACAGCTGAGACACGTGTTTCCCATGTGCTCCTCCTCCATCACATGAAAGCCTATAGCTCTTCTCTGTCATTAGCCCCCAAGAAGGAGGAGTTTCCTATAAAGTTGGCATTGGTAACTACAGATCTCCCTAGAAGTGGGAATGGTGATATTTGATATAGTGATCAAATTCCAGAAGTGGATGTTGGGCGTGGTATACAACAGCCCAATTTACTAAGCAAAGAATATGTTGCATGAATAAATGGTGCATGTGTGTACACTTGCATTCATAGAAATAAAATCATCAACGGCTTGGGCAGAGACAATGGGCAGAACTGCAGAAATGGTCTCCACAGAGAGAACACTGCAGTGTGAAGGCAAAACAGGATGGTGTGGGGAGACCTGCAAAGTCAGGCCAGGGTCCTGTTGGCATCCCGGGAGTCCACTCGTTCAAGGTAGGAGCCCCTCTTCCCAGTGGAGGAATGAGGACAGTGAGCTCCTCTTAACCTGGCTTTGTTGACATGCAGGAGGTCCCAAGTTACCTCAAAGGAGTCTGCGAGGAAATTCCCCCAAATCAACTTCAGAAGCTAGTGAATTGATTTTGCCTAAACTAAAATAGACCCGTCCTGCCCACTGGAGCAGAGTGCCACTAAAGCAAGGAGACAGTTTCAAACCCCCACCTCATAGGGACTAGCAGATCCGAATCTCACAGTGGAGAAAAATCCTTGCCCTGTGCTCTTCTAGCGACCACTTCACCAAGCTCATGTGTGCTCTCTCTCTCTCTCTGTCTCGCTCTCTTTTTCTGTGCTGTGATAGTTCACTTTATATGTCACCTTGCCCAGGCTATTGTGCCCATCAAACACCAGTCTAGATACTGCTGTGAAAGTATTTTTTCAGATGAGATGAACATTTCAATCATTAGACTTTGAGTACACTCCATAGAATCGGCTTCCTCCAATCAGTTGAAGACCTTCTGAGAAAGAAGACTGAAGCCCCCACCACCACCTGAGGAAGAAGGAATTCTGCTTACAGACTACTTTTGGAAAGGAGCTGCACCAGCTTTTCCTGGGTCTCCAGCCTGCTGGCCTGCCCTGCAGATAGTGGATTTTCTCTCTCTCTCTCTCCATCCCTGTCTATAGGCACACACACCTACATCCTCTCGGTTCTATTTCTCTAGGTAAACTGATTAATATACCTTCTAAGTACTCTCAGAATCTGTTCTGAGTGACCTATAGAAGCAAATGATAGAGAAAATGGATAAATAAAACCCACAGAAAAAGCCCTTAGTCCCCTTCCCTTATTTCTAAGGTCTTGTGAGAAGCAAAAGCGCTGTAATTATCCTGTGATCCTCATGATAATTGCTGGCAGAGATTCTAAGTCTGTCCAATGATTAGCCAGGCTCTGTGGGAGGCTGTGGGCATCCACACAGTAGTCATGGAAGGGCCAGCAACTGGAAGAAATGGAGATCACAAAGAGCCTGACAACTCAGGACCCTGACTGAGAAAGTCCTGAAAAACTATCTCCTATAAGGATCGATAGCAAACACTCTCAGAGCACCTATGGCAGGAACTTGTAACTGTAACATTGCTCATAAGGGAAGATTTTAAATATTAAATGAAGTTATATAATTTTCCAGTCCAGCAGACAGAAGAGTTCATCTCTACCTGGAGACCACTTACTTCTGCAGCGCTTCCCATCTTCAGCAAGCCGGAATCCTTCCCGGCACTTGCAGATGTATGACTCATCACTGTTCACACAAATATGCTCACAGCCATGGTTTACTGATTGGCAGACACCTTTCCCTGAGGGCAGGGGAGCAAGTTAACACAATTTTACCAACATAAAATTTCCCCGGGCTTCACCTTGGAAGATCCATCCATCTCAGCCACCAGGTGCTCCAGGCCCCCTTTTGCTCAGTGATCCATGGGAGCAAAGTAAAAATTAAGGATGAATTTCAACGGCTCTAATTTAGGTTAACTCTTCAAACTTCCTCATTATCATCTGCAGCACCACTAACCAGCACCTACTTCAATATCTCATTAAATGCAATCAGTCATTGGCTTTCTGTAGATTCAGTTTCTAATAGCAAAAGGAACATTACTGGTATGATATGGTTACTTAGAAGATTAAAACTCAGTTTAGATTAGTGGTACTGAAATTTAATTTTGGCTTTGTCCCTGACACATGGCTTTGGAGAATCACTTAATCTCTTGGAGCTTTACCTTTCCTATCTGTCTGGAAAATGAGAGCAATAATTCCAATTACCTATCTCTTCTTCAAACATGTCAAATATGAGTTGTTCTTTGCAAAGTGCTTTGAGAAACTGAGGGAAAGATGACCGATAAGGATGAAAACCATTTGCTCAGGGTTATATACTTCCCTTTGATTAAACAGATGCATCTTGGCCCTATCTAAGAGGCTTTGCTTTCTGAAACAGAAGAATGGACTCATCATACAGTGGTCTCTTTGAGAGATTTGTGCTACCTGCAACAACAGAGGCTCAGAGAAGTGAAACAACTTGCCCAACTAATAAATGGCAGGACTAGAAGCTGCTAGATCTTGTTTCTTGCCACAGGGCATAAATGAGCAACTTCTCTTGTAGTTCTAAGCACTATGTTTTTTTCATTGTCCATTTCTTTGCTTGTTTGTGTTTTCTTTCAACAGAGTTTATTTTTTAGAACAGTTTTAGATTTACAGAAAGATGGAGGAGATAGCGCAGAGTTCCTAAAACAACAAAACCAGTTTCCACTAGTATTAGCAACTTATATTAGTGTGATACATTTGTTACAATCAATGGACCAATATTGATACATTAACACCAACTAACATCCAAGGTTTATTTACATTTCCTTAGTTTTTAACCTGATGTCATTTTTCTGATGTCATCCAGGATCCCACATTATACTGAATCATCGTGGGGCATTGGCTTTTGAGAGTAGCTGATTTAAACAGAGATCAGGATAGTAGAATTTATGCAAAAATCAGACACAGTAATGTGAGACAACTCCAGTAAAAACTTACTTCTGCAGGTTTTCCCATCTTCACGGAGTATATACCCTTCAAAGCACTGGCACACAAAAGAGTCTCCGCTGCTTACACATGAATGTTCACAGCCATGGTCCCCCACAGCACAGGAGTCCAATTCTGGGAATCCAATTGGAATTAATAAAACAGAAGGAAATGGTTCATACATCAGTGACTTAATTTCATCTGTTTTTTTTAGTGACTTACTCAATCTTAAAAGACATTTTAGATACCTTAAAGCAGTAAAAGCAGTGTCTTATCCTACAATGCACATTTCAAAACAGAAAATATGTCTATGAGCAAAAATTCTTCATAAAGAGTACATAAAATAAAATCATTTCCATAGGGAAAATGAACAAAAGACATGAAAGATAATTTATAAGAGAGACAGATGGCCTATAAATATTAAAAAATAAGTTACTCTTTATTGGCTATAATCTAGCTGTAATATCAACTTCTCCACCTACCTACTTATGTATGTATGTATGTATGTATGTATGTATGTGTCACACTTAGGTAATCTGTTCTCCATTTATTTATCCAGTTGTCAACTATTTCATGTGTTCCTACTCTGAGTCAGGTACTCTTCTAGGCTCTGGGGATTTAACAATGAGTAAGACAGTTTTGCTTTTGTGAAGCTTACATTGGGCAGCAGGTGAGGGAGAGAGGAAGGGGGAAGACAAACAATGAATATATATATATATCAGATGCAAAAGGTGCTGTGAAGCAAAGCAGGATAGGGGAGAGATGATGTTCCCTGGGCTGGGGAGGGCATGTTCTGTTACATGCTGCAGGAAGATATGGTGCCACTGAGCAGAGCCCTGAAAAGATGAGTGAATGTGTGGTATTTGGTTAGAACAGCACTCTCAGCAAAGAACAGCATTTGCAAATCACAGAGGTAGGAGTGTGTGTGGCACGTTTCAGGAAAGGCCAAGAGCCAGGCATGACCCAGGCCATCTGAGCCCAGCAGGGGATGATGTCAGTGAGGCCCACAGGGGAGACCATCTGGGATTCACAGGCAGCAGTGGAATCTGAATGAGAAAGGGTCACTGGAGGGTCTTGAGAAGTGGGTGGCATGAACCGTCTTTGTTGTAAAAGGCATACACGATGTGGGTGAGGAGGGAGAATGGAGGCCACCCCGGCCAGCATGGTGACACATGGTCACACTGTTGGCTGTATGCTGAAGGTAGAGCCCACAAGCTTTGCTGATGGCTTGATACGAAGAGGCCATCCTCATATGGATATGAGAGAAGAGTCACGGATGACGGAGGCTGTAGAGTAAAAAGAATGGCTTTGCCATCCACAGGGCCGGGGCAGCTTCTGTTTGTGAATCTGAGAAAACCAAGCTGATATTTTAAAAGCCTGATACTGAGCACAATGTGGGAAATGACTTCTTATAAGAATGATACACAATTCTGGGAGTCAACTCAATCATTTCAGATTGAGAAGAATCTTACAATGGATAGCCATTGAAGTCATAAGATAAAGGCTCTCAAGTCCATAATCACTGGTATAATCAAGCACGGACCATACACTTATTTTTAAGGCATTTTTGCAGTACTCCTCATTGGAGGGGAGTCCTGAGAACCACCTGTGGGGTAGTGGAGGCAGCTGTTCTTAGTCTCACTTACCAACCAGGAGACTAAGGTTTGGGAAGATTAATGGCTTGCCAAGATCAATTGCTAATATGTGATAGCACTAGACTCAAAATGTAATCTTCTGATAATAAATCCCATGTTTTCCCTAACTACATAGCATTGCTATATCATAAAGTAATCTTTCAAACATGAAGGGAATTTTGCCTGTCTTCTTTTGGGCAGAAGTGCTGCCAAAATCTTTGAACAATGGGAAAACATCATGTTAACCAAAATTATAACTGCAGAAGAGAGTCAAAGCAGAGTTGGACTGTGTTGTTTGCTCTGAACATGACTTACTTCTCTGGGCACAATCTAGACTCATTATTAATGCACAACATTCCCTAGCGGCTTGGGGGTAGTTCTTCACGTAGTGTTGAGTGGAAATACAAGTGAGTGATCCACAATACACACAGCTGGCTGGCTGTGGAGGTGAGCATTTTTTTCCTGTGAATTTATATTAAGAATACTCCATTTTCCAACATAATAAAACAGCAATAACTCTTTCAGGCCAGCCTTGTGAAGCCATAATCCAGACAGATACCTGTCTCCGCTAACACCCCAGCACACCCCTTCTTTCTGGAGTTTCTCCCCATGCCCTGTCCTGTCTTCTTGGCTCCATGTCAGGCTTTCATCGTGAAGAGTAGCTGAGTCTTTCCATACGGCCCCTGAGCCATGGTGGTCTGCATCTGCACGGAGCAGATGGGGGCGGCCTTCCTTTATCTGAGCCCAAAGCCACTGTCCACGTCACCCTTGGCCACAGACCATCACAGGAGCTCCCAGCTCAGTTTCTGAGCTCTCCTCAGTGTTCACATTAGCAGCTGTTTGAAATCTTATTGGGTGCATGCTTTTAAAGCACATGGCAAGTTTGGATTTTTAACCTTTTTCCTCCTTGTCCCCTCAAAGCAGCTAATTGGTGGAGACTAGAGCAGTGGGAATTCTCCACCTCACATGAGCATTAGACTTTTTTAAAAGGCAGAACAGGCACATGATTCAAAATTCAAAAATATTAAAGGGCATACTCCCCCTAAGGCGGGGTATCTGCCAAAGTTAGAAAATATACCTTTGACCTAGAAACTTCGCTTCTGGAATTCTCTTCTACAGATACCCTGGTACCATATGAGGGGATGTACTTTCAAGCTATTTATGGCAGCATTGTTTGTAATAATGAAAAGTGGGAAACAATCCAAATGTCCAGCAATAAGGGAGTTAAGCAGCTGTAAAAAGAATGAGAATGTGTTCTATGTAATGATATAAAATCTCCAAAAATATCATTGAGTGAAGGGGAAAAAGTAGCACAGAATGGGGTATATATAGTACACCATTTTTGTGTGTGTGGGTAAGAAAATGGAGGAAATAAACATGTATATTTATATTTGATTTTCTTCACATAAAGAAACATGAAGGATAAAGAATAAACTAGTGAATATAGTGTATTATTTGTCTGTTGCTGTGTAACAAGTTACCCCCAAACCTAGCCACTTAAAACAATATTTACTGTCTCACATAGTTTCTGGGGGTCTGGAATCCAGGAGTGGCTTAGCTGAGTAGTTCTAACTCAGGAACTCTCAAGACCTGCACTGAAGATGTGGGCTGGAGCGACAGGAGGGGCTTCCGAGCTCACTCACATCTTTATTGGCAAGCCTCACTCTGTTCCTCACTGGCGATTAGTGGGAGGAGGCTTAGGTTCCTCAGCATGTGGGTATCTCCACAGGGCAGCTTATAACATGGCTTCTCTGAGAGCAAATGATCCAAGAAATGAGAAAGAGCACTCGAGATGGCAGCCACAATCTCCTTTATAATTTAATTTGAAAAGTGACAGACCATGGTTCACACAGACCAACAGCAAAGGAGAGGACCACACAAGTGTTTGAATACCAGCAGATGGGATCACTGGTGGCCACCTTGGAGGCCAGCTCCACGCTCTGCTGATAGGAAGGGAGGTGGGGAATGGGATGGGAGGGCAAAAGGGGGAGTAAAGCTTCTCAATGTGTCTTTTCATACTGCTTCGATTCTTAGACCATTTAACCCTTTACTTATTCTTTTTCTTTTCTTTTCTTTTCTTTTTTTTTTTGAGAGAGAGAGAGAGAGATTGAGGGAGAGCATGTGCACACAGTATGAGGAGGGGCAGAGGGAAGGGGAAAGAGAGAATCTGAAGCAGGCTCCACACCCAGTGCAGAGCCCAACTAGGCTCAGTTTCACGATGCTGAGATCATGACCTGAGCTGAAATCAAGAGTCAGACAATTAACCGACAGAGCCATCTTGGTGCCCCAGCCCACTACCTATTCTAAAAATATGTTAAAATTTAAATAAAAATTCTTATGGAGAACAAAAGATTTAGAATGAAACATTTGCCTCTCTCTCACCTTTGACTCTCTACATCCTTACTTTTAAACCTGCACCATCATTTTAGTCAGTGTTTTATTGGATGGGCATTTAGGTGGTGCCTAGTGTTCTAATATTATAAATGTTATTGTAATGGACACAATGTAAAGGCATATCTGAAGATAAATATCCAGGAGCAGAAATGCCTAGTTAAAAGGTATGAACATTTAACAGCTGATAAATATTTCCAAGTTGTCCTTTAATGAAGTCATATCAGTGTAAGACAGTCTCGGCTTCAGGGGGTATAGAATGCTGCCTGGGTGTCTGGATGTTTTAAAAGCCCCACAGGTGGGGCACCTGGGTGGCTCTGTCAGTTAAGCATCAGTCTTCCACTCAGGTCATGATCCTGGAGTCCTGGGATCAAGCCTATAGTTGGGCTCCCTGCTCAGAGGAAAGTCTGCTTCTCCCTGTCCCTCTGCCGTTGCTCTTTCTCTCTCTAATGAATAAATAAAATCTTAAAAAAAAAAAGCCCACAGTTGATTCCAATATAAACTACCAGGGGTGAGACACTGGTGGTGGACACAGACCTTACGTTCAGAGACCTTCTCATGTGTCTAGATTACTCTGCACCTTTACCATCAAGAACCAAACACCACTGTCTTTCTTTTGAGCTGTTGCATCATCTACTGATTTCCACACTCTCTTTTACCCCCTCCAGTCCATTCCCTTCCCTCGTCCTAAGTCCTCTTTCCAAAATGCAAGTATTTTCACATCACTCCCTTGCTCTGCTTTAGGTCCTGAAAAAGACCCAGAATCCCCCCAGCCTCTCCTGGCCCACTCTCACATCCTTCCACTGCTAGGCACTGTCTTGCAGTGAGCCCCTCAGCACCAAGCCAGGAGTCCTCCCACCATCATGGTCTGCACAGCCATTCCCCTGCCTCTCTTTCCTCCCTATCCACCTCCCATTTCCTGAGGTCTTCCCAGGCCTCCCCACATGGGGCCTCAAAGCAGTAGGCATCGGCCCCTCTGGTAATAGCACCCTGTCACTGAACAGGAAGTCACGTGGTAGTCTGGGTCTTCACCTGTGTCCTCCCTGGACTGTGCTCATGCGCGCTCTGATCAGGAGACCACACATTCACTGTGCCTGCCCTTCCCTCCTG